GAATGGAAGGTTGATTCCTCCCTTCCTCCGAAAAGAGGAGCTAATAAAGTGTCAGTGTGCACCACAAAACTAAGGCCATACAAATTTGTAGCATCTGAAACAAGCGTGACCTCAGATGGAGTTCCACAAATGCAATATATCCATTTGTGACAGCATGTTGAGACCTGAATTTTGGAGCAGTGGCCACAGAATGGCAAGCAGATTGTATTTAATTTTTGTAGGGGGATTTGCTTTACTTACGTCAAATCTTAACTGAAATGGCAGAATTTAAACAATCAATTTACTTAGCACAACGTTGGCTAATTGTATGATTGGATGGCAGAACAAGATCTGGATATTTAAAGGAACTGGAAGAAAAGATAAATCCTCTCATCAGTGGGTTTAATTATAAAAGGGATCTTTGCTTAACATTGGCAATTTGTACTACCCACTCTCATAAAGGTCTTGAAGGGGAAACATTTTCAAAGAAATTTCCATTTGCCCAAGTGGAAATGTTTTAAAATACAGTATAATAACATTGCTGAATGAAGTCAATAACTTAACATGATTAACATTTCATGCTTAACCAAATTTGGTAACTTTTCTGGTGAATTTGACTTATAATTGTGCAATTGTCCAAATATTTTGTATTTACTTTGTTTTTCCTGTCTTGTCACTTCTGCATCCACCTGAGACATTTATCTTATTGCCTTGTTTTTAATGTACCCAAGGTACAGTAAAAAAATAAAATAGGCTACTAGCCTATTAAAAAATAAAGTAGGCTACTAGCCTTGCATTAAAAGCATGACTGATGGACCTGTTTAAGCTCACAAAACCTCAGAGTGTTTTCAGAGATGCATCTTAAATTGGAGTTTGACAGCCCAACCATAACTCATTCTCCAGGTATTGGTGAAGTCTCAAACTACAATTTAATGATTCATATTTTTTTGCAGTTAAAACTACAATATTCAAGTGCTGTAGGGCAAATTAAAAACTGAGTTTGAATTCAATTTCTGCCTATGTTAGAACAGATTTTTTTCATGCTGGATTAAACCTTAAAACTATCGGGCTGAGAAGGAAATTTGCCTGCTGGTGAAGGCAATATGGATCACTGAGCAGTACTAAGTTCATCTGAGTGGCGGACCACTTCCTGGAGGCTAATCCAGTTCACCCAAATGTGAACTGTCGGAGGATCACTGCAGACCTTATCTTTCAATCCAGTTCTTTGGCCTTGCCTCCTCAAAAATAGATGTAGTTCATATTCAGTATCAAAAACCTTCACAGAATACTTGAGGATATTATTTGAGAAAATGAAGTCTGAATAGCAGATGGCATCACATCTACGATGGAATGAGTGCTTCACAGTGGACAAGGGAAGGGCTACAGATGTCATCTATCTGAACTTCTGTAAAGTCTTTGACGTGGTCCCCCACAACATCCTTCTCTCTAAATTAGAAGGAGATGGATTCAGTGGGTGGACTGCTGGATGGATAAGGCAGTGGTTAGACAGTTGCATCCAGGGGGTCAATGGTTCAGAGTCCTGATGGACATCAGTGACAAGTGGCGTCCCTCAGGGGTCCATATTGAGACCAGTTTTATTTAATATCTTCATCAATGACACAGATAGAGGGATTGAGTGCACTCTCAGGATGACACCAAGCTGAGTGGTGCAGTTGACACACCTGAGTGATGGGATGCCATCCAGAGGGACCTGGACAATCTTGAGGAGTGGGCCCAGGGCAGTCTCATGAGGTTTAACTAGAGCAAGTGCAAGAGGCTGCACCTGGGTTAGAGCAACCCCTTGTTTCAGTACAGGATGGGAGATGAACAGATCTAGAGCAGCCCTGCTGACAAGTGCTGGAGGAAGAGAGGCTGGACATGAGCCAGCAATGTGCACTTGCAGCCCAGAAAGCCAACTATGTCCTGGTCTGCATCAAAAGCAGTGTGGCCAGCAGGATGAGGGAGGTGATTCTGCCCTTCTACTCTGCTCTGGTGAGACCCTGCATCCAGCTGTGTGCTCCCCAGCACAGAAAGGACATTAACCTGTTGGAGTGAGTCCAGAAGAGGACCACCAGATTGATCAGAGGGATGGAGCTCCTCTCCTATGAAGAAAGGCTGAGAGAATTGGCTTTGTTCAGCCTGAAAATAAAAGGCTTTGGGGTGACCTAATTGTGGCCTTCCGTTATGTTGACAGAGCCTACAAGAAAGCTGGAGAGGGACTTTGGACAAGGGCATGTAGTGATAGGACAAGGGGGAAGGATTTCAGTTTAACTGAAAGAGGGTAGGTTTAGAATAGACATTGAGAAGAAATTCTTTACTGTGGGAGTGGTAAGGCGCTGGAACAGGTTGCTCCGAGAAGTGTTTAGGCCAGGTTGGATAGGGCTTTCAGCTGGTCTGGTGAAAGATGTCTCTGCCCTCAGCAGGGAGTTGGAACTAAATGATCTTTATGACCCCTTTCAACCCATACCAATCTATAATCCTGTGCAAAGCCATAGTCCTGTCGCTTACTGGCAGCTGCAGTTCTGATAGGCCTTTGCACTCTATGTCTGTAAAATAAGGTGAATGAGGGCTTGTTTTCTGACCCTAAAAAGCACTGGCATAACATGACTTATGAAAATATGGCCAAACACCTGCAAACAGGTTGGCTTTATCCAGGGTGCCTCTTTGGAACTGCTATGGCTTGAGTTATCCTTGGGACCATAATCTGGGCATTGCCTGGGAGAATGCTTGGGTTGGCAAGGGTCAAAGCTTTTCTGGAGGCTGTTTGTTAAACACTGTGGATGAATGACTGAGCTAGCAGTCTGATCCTGTGGAGTTTACTGTTAGGTGTAGTAATAAGGCCTGTGTAAATACAGTGTTGTAACCTGTGTTAAGATAATCTCCTAAAGGTAAAGTTAGTAAGTCTACACAGAAGTCATGTAGAAATGATTCCTGATCTACAGATGAGATTCAGATAAGTGTTTCTCTGTATCTCTGTTTCTCTGTTAAGCTTAACTCATAGTTAAGCTTATCATCTTAGATAAGAATGATAAGAACATTAATAAAGAACATCATCTCTTGATCAGAATAAAACCTGTATTATTAACCACACTGTCTTTTGATAGTTCCTAAGTACAGGTTGATAGTGTACAGACTATTACTGTAGCATAGTTGGAGGATGCAGAGCATCTTGTAACACTGAGCATTTCCAGCCTTTTTGCAGGCAATCTGTGATGGAATTGAGTATACAGAGGGTGTTTAAATCTATCCCTATGTAAACAGGTGTTGCTTTGAGATTTTACGCTCGTTACTCAGAAATTCAGAAAGGAATATTATCCAAAAAGCTTGTTTAGTAGTGAATTTCTGAGAAGAGAAACTTATCTCTTCAAGACACCAACTGCAAGTCTGCTTTTGCAAGGAATTTATGGCTGATGGGTACTTTGCAGCTTCTAGTAAGGTCTGAAGCCTCACAGTACTTATTAGAGCTCATTTGATACATCTAAATGACAACAAAATATCCAACTATGATGACATTTTTAATGGATTAGAAAAGTGTCTGAACTCATTAGAATTGATTTTTTTTCTGCCTAGATATATTTCATGGTGGTGTCTTACTACATTTGCTTGATAAACCTTTTAAACTATTTGTCACTTTTTTTCTGTTGTTGATTGAATGTGTGATAAATATCACTCTTGCTTATACTGGATGATTTCCAGGCAACAGATTTATGCCACATTATGGTGTTTTATTGACGGAAGTATTGCAGGAATCATTTAGTTTTTGAAACCACCTGAGTGTAGGTGAATCATGGAATAATTTGAGTTGGAAGGGACCTTTGTAGGTCATGTAGTCATTCATATGTGCTAAAGAGTTAGAGGGGGTAGGGCTTTTTTTTTTTTTCCTGTAAATTCAGCCATGCTTGTTGGCTGTCTCAGCTTCTGCAGGTATCAGCCAGCGTATAGAGAGAAGGTTATGTGCATGAGAAGTACTTTGTAACTCAAGTTCTCCAGTGTGAAGTTTGGTAGCCCAAGTAGAGGCATTAAGTTTGGCACAAAACCTACTGGGGATAAATTTAGACTTTCTTCAGCAATGACAGATGGTAGTACTATTCAGTTTATTTGTTTGCAGTTTACTGTTTAAAGATTCTGAGTGGTGTATTTTGTTAGAAAAAGTATGGGAGAGTGACAAAGAATGGAGAACAGGACTGATAAGGGGGGAAGAAGTGGTAAGTAGGGGTACTGTAGCAGGAGTGCAGACTGGGAGGAAAGAGTGAAGGGCAAAGAAGTTTAACAGAGATGAGAAGAAAAAGATTCTCACAAGGATTCAGAGGCTGAGTAGGGTTGCTTCGGTCCAGGGGGGCACTGAGGACAAATGATCTGGAGAATGAGGCTTGATAAAATGACAGTTGCTCTCCTCAGTGTTATTTTCAGGGACGTTCCATAGCACTCTTCTTATCTTCACTTTAGGTTTTATGATCTGAGAAATTGGAGCAATAGCAAGTAAGGGGAGGTTGTACATTTATGTGACTGCATCTCCATCCTTCCTCTTCATTCAATAACTAGAGTATTACATTGTTCACATTCTGGTCTGAGATGCTTATTTGGAAAGGATTGTTTATAAAAGATGGTATGTTAACTGCTCCTTTTTCTCTAGTAAGTAATTATGTATGGTTTATTGCTCCTTCTTATATATATTGGTATTATACATAAATATTATTTCTAGTGATGCTTGTGTAGATTATTTTTTTGCAGAGTCTACTTATCTTTTTTATTGAATTATGCCTTATTGTGTGACTGTTCCCATTGATTTCACTTGAATTACTTAGTTAAGAAGTATATACACATGGACCAAAGGGATTTGTTTCAGTTTTTCCAGAATAAGTTTTTGTATTTCTTTATTGATAAAAGGACCCAGTTGAAGGATTGACTGCTGTGAGGTTAATATTGAAAACTTGGTATAGATCTCATTCTAACTCTCAGGTGTGTTACTATTTAGATTTCTTATCCAAAATTGGTTAATAATGTTTCTTTTTTTCCAATAGGCAATGTTTAGTCTCTGCATGGTTGAAAGTGAAGCTGATGAGGTGAATTTACATGGTGTCACAAGCCTCGGTTTAAAACAAGCCCTGGACTTTGCATATACTGGACAGGTATTGTACAGTTCTTCAAAGGAAGAAACATGGTTAAAAGCAAGTGCAGTAAAAACTAAATATGACCTTTTCAGAAGTACTAGAGATGATTTTTCTTGTGTACTACCCAGTACAAGGTATTTTAATTCAACAGATGCTAAAGTTTTTATACTGTGATGGATTTATTTCTTTAGAAGGATTGTTTAATAAAAACACCACTTATGTGCATCATTGCCAGATAGTGAACCATATAGGACTTGTATTTCCTTTTTGTGGTTGTCTGACTGCTCAAATAATCTTAATGTGAGTTGATTCTACATGCTAAATGAAATGCAAAGGAAGGTGTTTTCCTAGTAAAAAATATTTATAAACTCTGCTGTGTTTGACGAATTATATAGTTGAGGAGAAAAGGAGTCTCTTACTCTCTGGACAGATGCAGTTCAAGTATCTTTGTGAATGCTTGTAGGCACTATACAGTTTCAGTGTGGCACTCTTTATGACCACAGCTTTATGACCACATTATATTGCTTCAGGAAATGCAGAGCAATGTTCCTTTTCCCTCTGCCCCTTGCCATATCTCTGCACTGCATGGTTTGAGAGCATTGCTGTGTGACTTCATCTCAGTTCAGAGTTCATGGATAGTGAGCTCAGAACACCCAGATATTTCTGCTTTGGACTCTAAAATTCCAGATAACTAAACTATTTTTGGAATATTGCTACAACAGTTGAGTCCACTGATGTATTAGTGATGTTTATTAGTTAATTTCAAAACTGAAAGCTTAAATCCATGTTGCGTTATTCTGGAAGAGCTGTTGGTTTATATAAATTTAAGGCATCTGCTTCCATACTTTGGATTTAGTATATGGCTTTATGGGGGTATTTTGTTGTTGTTGCTGTTGTTTGGGTTTTTTTTTGTTTGTTTGTTTTTATTTTTGTTTTAACAAAGACACTAAATAGGAATAAGGAAAAAAACCCCTACCTGTTTTAAAGAATCTATTTTTGTTACCAGCCCGCACAACACTTGAAGTTTAGCACTGATCTTGGATATTAGCACTTTAATTTCTGTGTTTCTGCTGTCATGGAAAGCAGAACTTATTGAAAGATTTCTTTTATATAAGTGATAGATAGAGATGCCATACTATATTAGTGGATTGGCTGAAGATCTCAGTACGTGACTTGTCATTGGTATGCTTCTTGTTCTTTCAGTTGAAAGTTTTGATAAAAATTGAAATATTAGGCACCTATATCACCTTTTTGGTAATTTTAAACTATAGGTTGATTATTCTGAAGGGAGAACTCTTGTTAGAAGTATCTTTTGAGAAGATGGGTTGTATTTGATTTCTGTCTGATCTATCCTGTCTGTTATGATTAGAGATATATTTACCATCTTTAAGCAAAACTCAAAGTCTAATAAACCTGTGTAAAATACATTGAGAACCTTTGAAAAGATGGATATGGCTTTTATGTAACCCAACAAGCAACCTCACATTATTTCCAGGATAATAACCCCATCTCCCTAGCAAATAATATATGCCTTCTGTCCTTGGTTCTTTAGAGCCTTTTGAGTCTTTCATTTTCAGGTGTAATCTACCTTAATAAATAAATGGGGTTCTTGAGTTAAATATAGATGTGCATGTGTGTGCAGTTGCTTATACATGTAAGTGCTTATAAGGTGAAGTTTACTCTGTCCTGTCTATCAGGTACATCAAGTGCTACTTTGATGCACAGAGAAATGAGAAGGATTCTGCAGGAGTTTTCCTGTAAGGGTGCCTTTGAAGCATAACTCAAGTGATATGTGGGTCTGAGAATCAGCAGCATTGCTTTCTTGCTTTAGTCCTTGAAATTCTCTTTTGGCATTGGGTTTGTATGTCTTGAGCATTGCTTATGTACTGACTCAGACTGACAAAATCTGGGTGAGCATTTCAAGGTAGTGAGTGGGAGTAATCCACAAAGGCTGTTAATAAACAACTGGATTACTGGATGCTTACATCAGAGAGAGTTCTGAAAACAGTCGTCTTCAGTTTGGTTTGCAAACTCTTTATGGTTTAAAAAATAAAATATTGTTTAATAGCCCAAAACTCACTCATGCCAAATGCAATCTTATATTGCTCTGAAAATATAGGTATCAAGAATGATCTGAAATACCTCTTAAAAATAAAAGCCGTGAACTCTATTTATTTTCCTTTTTTTTTTTTACAGCCATATTTGTCCAAAATGTTGGTCAAAAAAATGGATGTTTCTGTAGGTAACACTTTGGAACTCCTAAGGTATTCATGTTTAAATAGATAAGTAATTAGTTGCAGCTTTCTTCTCTTTATTTTTTTATTATCCTAAACTTATGTTTGAGATGCTGCACTTCAAACTGAATGCAGCTTTCTGTGAAAAATAATATATTGGAGACATCTGGTGGAAATATTTAATATTGCACAATGGCCTGCAGTTTTTAAAACTTATCAAATTAAGATATTTAATTTTTAGGATGACACTGAAATCTGAAATTAAACTCTGTCATCTTTGCCTCTATTTTGTTAGTTCTAAACATGCCTGTGGACTTAAAATAAAAACTTCACCTTCCTGTCTACTTAGGCAGACAGTGTCTTATCATAATTACTGTCGGAAATATTTTGTTTATAAGGGAAACCTGATTGTTCAGAAGAAAGGAATGTTTTAAAACTCGAATTAAATATAAATAATACCATAATTCCAACTGAATGTATCCATTACTATAGTCCTTGGTTATCACAAAGAAAGAAATTTGGTATTGCAATAGGTAAAACAAATCAAAGGAATGGCAGCAGAATTCAATTTTGTTCAATGCATATAGGTTCTCAATAGTCCTCTAATAATGAAATCTTTGGCAAAAAAGTCTTAAATATGTTTCATCTTGACCATAGACATTTTACCATGTAATTCCCATATTCAGAATTTAGAGAGATACAATTGCTTTCCTGCTGTAGTTGACTCTTGTCCTGTTGTAGTTGCTATATCCTTTCTTCATAAAAGGGATTTAAGGCCATTCTCTCTTCTGCTTCATAGCTGGTGGCAGCAATAAGACCAGGCCAGAGCCTTAGTGAATAGATTCCTTACCCTGACTTTTCCAAGTGTTAGATTTGCACTGGAAGGGACATGGATGAAGTACAATCAATATAGGAACTATTTTTTTTTTAGATTATTAATATAGAGAAGCAGTTCTTGGCGCAGAGTTTGGAGCTCCCAATTCTTTCTATCCGACTAAGGGTCTTAACCACTGTATTAGAGAGTCATGGGCATTGTTATTTTCTTTTTGACTATTTTTTTTAATTTTAACTCTTCTGTTAATGAGAGTCACAATCTTATTTGGAGGAATGGGATAGCCCCCAGATAGTGCCAGCCAGTATAGTTGGCTGGCAAGTCACAAGAACATTTGCTTTAATTTACAGTGGATGATCCTAATTCAAAAAAATACAAACACACAGCTGGAGTCCTATGCATACTGAAATGCTCCAGGCCTGGGTCTTTCTTCTTGATGACTATGTTTTATCATATGTCTTTAATCTATGGTAATGGAAATATTTTGCATTTAGATAGAATTTTATTTAAGGACCTCAAAACACATTATAAAAGCAAGTAATCGCTGTCCTTACTTTGCTGCATCATAAACAGGAAGTTATTTTGGGAGAAAATAACTTTCCAAAGACACCACAAACCACTAGCTTTATTAGGGTGTAATACCAAGTTCTACTGTTTTCCTAACTGGCCTCTTTTCTTGTTGGTTGTTTTGTGGGTTTTTTTCCCTAAACTATAATATTTTGTTTCTGTATTAATAAAAATTAACTTGTAGTCATAAATTTATAAAATTATTCTGAATTGTCAAAGCCGAAATTAAAATATTAGTGAGGAAACCGTTATATGGGAGATTTTTTATGTTTGGCTCTTTCTCCCAAAGTGAATTTTGAGGTAACTTGCCCTGCGGTACCTTCTTAGCCCAAGATTAACACAGCCTGTTGGAATGTTGAAATGTTTCCTTTTATTAAAAACCACAGATGAAGCTGCATTTATAATGATTCAAAAATAGTCTTTAAACTTTTTCTGTTTATTAGCATATTTAACAGATTTTCTTTTACTCCCAAAATGCTAATATAGCAGCAGCCTTTCAATAAAGGTAATATCAGTATATTATCCCATTTACTAATCTAGAACTTCATTGTATTTTTAGGTATATTGCTCTCAATGTTGCTTTAATGCATTGTCAGTGTGTGTCCTATTTAACTATTGCCTTTACTTACTAACTTTACTTTGTATTCAGTTAGTTTGAAATCTGTCATCCTGTTAACAGCTACTATCACTTTACCAAGCAGGTTCCAGGAATTGGTAGGATTATCATCTGGTGATTTTTCAAATTCATGCACACAAACCTCTGATTAGTTGAAGTATTACCTTACAGCTCCTTTGTGAAATTGTAGTTCCATTAGTTATTTCTTTAACAAAAAAAACAAACAAACAAACAAAAAACAAGACATGAAAGAATGAAAGATCTTCCCAGATGGTAAAGAAATAGTAGAAATAAATATTTTCAAGTACAACAATTTCTCCTGATAATTGCTTCGATTCTTTTATAGAATCTTGTCTTTCATTTCTCATCAGTTCCTCCCCTCATTTGATATTGACCATTTTTCCAGTGATCAACAAGTATTTCATCTGCCATTTTTAGTTAAGACTGGGGAAAAATAGCAATCAATATCTTAGCACCTCTTATTGTGTTAATCCTCTCTATCTCTCCTGTTGATGGAGGTGTATTGTAGAGGTGTATTGTGATGCTTGATTTTCTTGGGTAAGTGGCCTTCTGCACACTGTGCTTAGCAGTTCCACTGGCTGCCTTTTGAGTAAAAAGAATCAGTTAAACCACCTGCTGTCCCTCGCAAAAGTGACTTCAACTGTCCTTGTTCTTTTCTACTGGGGACAGAATGCCAAAGTCATGGATACCTGAATACAACAGGTCTGTGTCTTACTGTAAATACTTAGCATCCTTTTTCAATGCAGTTTCAAAGCCAAAAATAAAAATTTGATACTTAGATAGGGGCATTTCCTTTATCACTTATATCAGGAGGATAATCTCGTTTCTGTGCTTAGCACTAGATTATAGCTGCTAGATGTTAGGTTCACAGTTCAGCTACAGATTCCCCAGAAGGCTTAGAATAATACAAAGCTTAATTAACTCACTTTATGCAGTTTATTGTACAGAAAGTTAAATGTTCCATGTTATTTGCTCTGGACAGGAATTAAGCTTAGGGACAAGACAGCTTTTCTAAAGCTGAATGTGATTAAAGTAATGAAACATCTACCCCAAAAAATAGTGAATTTGCTTGGAGTCTTGCGTATTCAAACCCTGTTTACTTCTAATAATGGTACTTACTTCATAGTGATATGAAGCTATGTCAGCGAAAATCAGGCTGGACATTAGAAAAAGGTTCTTCATTGAGAGGGTGGTAGATCACTGGAACAGGCTCCCCAGGGAAGTGGTCATGGCACCAAGCTTGTCGGAGTTCAAGGAGTGCCTGAACAACACTCTTAGTCATGCGGTTTAGGAGGAACATGGAGCAGGGACATAGGGCTAGATGATCTTTATGGGTGTCTTCCAACGTGAAATATTCTATGATTTTATAATGTATATGGTGTGCATTTAACACAAATTTTCATTTAGTTTTCTGGAATGTATCAGAGGATGCTGGTCATGATTCCTTCTGATATTGGCTAACAAGACATCTGGATTTTGTAACAAGTGCAACCAAATGTTACATGGCAGGGCTTTGTGTGACAAATGTTGAAGGTGGATGGGGAGGGGGAACCACAGGCAAGAGGCCTTTCCTTTTACCCCTTGCTCTGGGGGCGAACGTGCCCTCCCCCTACCCCCCACCACGAGGTCTCCATGGCCCTGACAGAGACCACAGGAGACCAGCAGCTGGCAGGGAGAGCAGGCAGAGAGAGGCTTTATTGTTCTGGGTAGTGACTTAAATAGCTCTTGGGGGGATTACAAAGTGACCACTGGGAGTTCAGGAGGTCTTACAAACAACCTATGGTAACAACGGGTTAATAACCGATAGGTAAGCTTTCAGTTATCTCTTAGACATTCCAATGGTACAGATAAGACTGAGGAACCTTGGGAAGAAGAAGGGTGAGTTTACACAAAGAGTTACAAAACCGTTTTGGAAGCGTGTTCACTTTAACAACATTAAAACTTCTGCATTCTTTTATATACTGCAACAGCTTTGCACTGTTGCCTGCAGGGGACTAGAACATTCCTTCCCCACTCACTTTTTTGAAGCAACATTTGTCAATGTGCAAGGAGCTCAGAATTCAACTGAAGCATGAATGAACAGGGAGACAGGCAAAATTGCTGTCTGGTTGAGAGTGAAATGCAGTCTAAATTACTTTAAAAGAAAAGTTAAGGGTTTTGATTGCTCTCAAGCACACAGAACGATCTCCATCAGGCAAAACCAAGTGATACTTTTGTTAGATGCCTGTCTCATTTTAAATGCTGATCACTGCAAGTGGAGTCAAGAGGGAATTTTCTTTTTCATCAAAGTGGCAGGATCTTAGATTTTTTTTCTCGTTTTCTGTGTTAAATTCCATATGGTTTACTTTCTAGAATTTTTTGACATGAAATTACATATTTCCTTACTGTGTGTACTTGTGGTGTGCATGTGGTGGTATTTAACTGCATTTATGTTAATATTCAGCTGGATGGCCTGAATAACATATACACAGCTATGCTGGTAATTAATAACAATCAAGTCATTTTATAGAAGCTGAGAGGTGTGGAATAATTTTGAATCACCCCAGTACAGTAGAAGGAAGGTTTGCAATATTTTCTTCCTTCTTATTGTTTTCTTTTTCTTGTGGATTTCCCCAACATGCAGTTTGCTTTTGGTGAATGTTTAACGTAGAGCTACCAGTATTATTTGTAAATGGATTGCTGTAGCTTTAAAATACATTAATGCTATCAGAGTTAAATATAATTTGTCTCTGCCTACAAGGTAGTAATGTGCTTGAGGTTCTGATTCTCTTTATATTGTGTCTTTAACAATGCAAAACTGGTGGCTGGCACTTAGTAAGTAACACGCCATCAGATGGCAACTTTCTCAGTGTAAATCATGTCTGAATAACATACACTGCAAGATCTGTATCAGCTTGTTTTGTCAGTCTGACCTTGAGTTCTCACTTGAACATACTTGATGGTGCTGCTTCTTTTTTTTTAAGATCCATACCTGTTGGAGATATTTTTGTGACTGAAATCTGTTCTAGTTTTCCACATTTTTCTCATCATGCATAGCAACCTCAGTAGCACCAGCCAAAAACCTGGATGGTGCTGGGCCTGATTCTCATTTACATCAAGATCCTTGCAGGTCTTTCTGACTTGATGAAGAACTTTAATGTAGTATGTAAATTGCATAAAATGTTCAGTTAAAACCTAGTCACTATATATATATATATATATAGTGATTTGCACAAGCTTTAAGCATATATATAGAATCATAGAATTAACTGGGTTGGAAGAGACCTCCATGATCATCAACTCCAACCCTTGATCCAGTCCCACTGTGATTACTAGATCATGGCACTCAGTGCCACATCCAGCCTCGTCTTAAAAACCTCCAGGGACGGTGAATCCACCACCTCTCTGGGCAGGCCATTCCAATGCCTGATCACTCTCTCTGTAAAGAACTTCTTTCTAATATATACTCCCAGAACTCAGTGTAAATGAGTTCTTGGTATAAACAAGGATTTCTTGGTATAAACAACGATCAGGCCCCTTCTCTCCTGTTCCTAATATATCCATTATGTTGGAGATATTTTGTAGTTTTGCTTGAAGAAATGCATACAAGTTTTTAATTTCCCTCAAAAATAGTTTAACTACAAAAGATGCAGATGAGTGTTTTTCCTTTTGTTTGCCTTCTTATTCCACTGGACTTGAGGTTGATGCAGTTGATGCTGTGAGATAAAACTGAATTGTGTGGGCAGAAGAAAAAGGATCTGAAAAAAGCTTTATTTCCCTGTGGAGCAGTGAGACACTGACCTCATGTGGCGTGAAACCAAAGTTGCCAAGGGAAATACTAGGATAAAACTGAATAAATTAAGCATCTTTGAAAAATTTAATTTTTCTTATGCGTTTCTGATTTTTGTTGGATATTGCACTGCTTAAATAATTTTAGTTTGTATAGTTTGTAGTGTGATTGCTGATAAGAAATTGACCAGTGTCTGTATTCCCAAAGACTTTTTCGTTTCCTGAAAGCGATGCTCTAAAAAGCTGACCCCAAGACAGCAGTCTAGGAGCTGTGGTCCAATTATCCTTACTGCTGCCTCTACATGGTTTTAATTGAAATGAGTAGGAGATTCATGTGAGCAAGTGACTGAATAATCAGTCTTGGTTTCTAAGCCCTTTCTGGCACTTCCCCAGCAGCATGCTCACTGTGCTTTCAGAGCCCTGCTCTGTAAAATGAAGACAGTGGTTAGAAAAATTATAAAGTGGTACCATGCAGAATAGGAAGGGTGTTCCTAGGCTGTATATTTTTAATACGCATGAATAATATTAATAGTGGAGACTTCTGGGTCAATTCTGTTGGTGTGATTCATCAGTATGTATGGATGCATTCAAGTATATAGATAACAAAAGGAGGTCCTATTATTTTGAAAAGTCTCTGTCTTAAATAAACAGCATGCATTTAATTACAAAATATTTAGAGGGTAATGTGGCTTATTGACTGTCACAGATTAAAAAAAAAAAACAGCTTAAAAATCTTAAGGGCAATTCAGATGAACTTTAGGCACTGTCCCCATCCTGCAAAGACACCTCTATATGCTTAGTTGTACTCTTTCTGTTCTTTATGTTGACTCAAATGTCTGAAATAACAAAGGCCTTTACTGTTTTCTGCAAGTCCTCTGAGTTCCAGATGACAAACCTTCCATTTTCTTCTTTACAGATCCTCTTGGAACCAGGAGTGATACAGGATGTCCTGGCAGCTGGGAGTCATTTACAGCTCCTGGAGCTTCTCAGTTTATGTTCTCACTATCTCATTGAGGTGAGGCTTCTCAGAGCCTGATCAGCCATTTCTGTTTGGTACACTTTTGTTAAAAGTCTGATTTCATTAGGAGAGTATTAGTACCATGCCTGGTGTAACCTAAATGGCAAAAACTGGATATCAGGAGGTCTGATTCTTGAGTGTAATTTGGGTTTAAGTTTGTGGGAGATGTTTTTTCCTTCCATCTGTTTTGTCCATTTCATTCCTGAAAGCAAGAATGGTCCACTGGTTCATATTAGCACATGGGAGTTTGATTCCCTCTTTTACCAGAGAATTTGCTTTCTTCTACCTCAGTTTACCAAATGCTAGGCATTTCCCTTTGGGGATCGTGAGTGTTATGAAGAATGCAGATGCATAAGTGTTCGCAACAGATACTGATATGTATCCCAGGGTGCTAATACCTCTCACTGAAGGGATAGGGCTTATTACAATGGCACCTTATTCTCAACTGGCCTCATGCCCATAATGCTGATGTCTTTATGAAACAAGAAATTTGAGTGCAGTAAACTAATCTTCTGTGATGACTTATAGCAAAAACACAGCTTTGATGTGTAAATATGAAAAACCTTATAAAAATAAAATAGCAATAGCAATTCTACAGAACTGTTTGCTTTTTTGGTAATTTTTCAGTACTGTTTCTGTGTGTTAGCTGCTCCTGGGCAATGGGTGGTCACGGAAATGCACATCAGCACAGTCCTCCTAGTATGAACTTGCCTTCCAACAGCACAACTGCCTTTGAACAGTCTGAGTGTGCTTGGCAGCACGCTGAGCTACTGAGTACCAGGGCAGGCAGGATCTGATGGTAAGAACTTCAGGATGTACTTGAAATCTCTGTGTCTTACGGAGAAGTGTTAGCCTTACAAAACCCTTCAAAATGTATGTTCAGATAATAAGACAGAATTAATTTGTACATTATAAATTGATTAGAAAGAGGAGCTGGTAGACTGCTGCAATTCTTTTTCTTTCCGAAGTATAAGGAGGGATTTAATTTTTCTGAGTAAGCAGACATGAATTGTAATGGGAAAGGTGGTTGGTTTGAGAAATAAGAGCTGTGAGATACCAAATAAGCCACAAAACCATTTGGCCTATTAGTTGTCAAGCAGGCACAGGAAGGGGTTACTTAAAGAAAAGAAGATACAAATCTAACATTATACCCTGTATTTAATGCCTCTTCAACAAATCAGTCAGTGTGAGTATGCCTCTGCTGCTAATGTGGTGCAGTGTTTGTCAGAAATTGAGCCAAAGAGAATACTGCAGCAAAGAATCTAGGGAAAATACTGAAAAGCAGGGACGCTGGGTATTGTGCTGGTGAGGTGGGGACATGAGAGGACTGTAGGAGAAGAGGTGTAGGAGAAGAGCAGGTATATGCTCAACATAAATCCTTGTGCTAACTATTTTTATTATTTCTGTTGGGTAGTCTCTGGTATTTGTAGCTCTTCCCTCAGCACGTAGCTCTTCCCTCAGCACCATCTTAATGCTTTTAATCCTGAGGCCACTGCGGGGGAAAGGCAGACAACTGTAGGATTAGCAGTGCTTTGGGTCTTGTCCTTGATGTGCAAGCCACAGTCAATTACTTAGGAAGAGACTGATAACAAATTAAAAATCTCCCAAAACAAACCAAATCAATCCCAAAATCACATTACCCCCACAAGAAAACCACTCTGGAGTGAGTAAGCATTGCTTCTAAATTATTCTATATTTCACAGACCAGTAAAAATTCTCTGGGGATGACAATCATAGAATCCTTTAGGTTGAAAACGACCTTAAAGATCAAGTCCAATCGTAAAATGATAACTTGCAAAAGAAGCAGAAGTATTTTAATTCCTCTCCTTCTAATACTTTTCCTGTTGTTCTCATGTCTTTATATGCTGTTTGTCTCATGCATATGTTTATTTACATGTTTTTTCTCTTTCTATAATTTAGAAGAGACCCATGTCCTTCATGAGTCATAGAAACCACAACTTTGTGGTCTGCAGTTGCTGTAAGATGTGTAAAAGATGTGAAATATCACTGTTCTACTCTGAGTAGTATGCCAGGGTAGGATAACTGAAGCTACACTGGTGTAAAAATTAGGAGGAAGTGGGACTCAGTGTCCAGATTTTTAGTAATGGAGGTAGGGAATAAGGTAGGGGATGAGGGGAAAAAGGAGGAGTATATGTGTTGGAAGACAGAGAGCAGTACTACTCTGTAGACTATTTTTTAATCAGGATCTTATTGTAAGGTTTTGAAACTGCGTGAACATCTGTGGGATGGCTATAGCTTACATCATATTGGGTTCTAGGCTGTATTTTACTCTTTTTACAGTATTTATTAACCTGGTTCACCCAAACAAGGCGTATATTTAGACACATTTCCAGTCCAAATAGATCATAGTTCGAGTTTACCTGTCTTTTTTGTTCTGTAGTGTTGCAGTCCGTGCAAGTAATCAGCCTTGAGTAATTGTGTAAGCCTTTTTAACAGAGGCCAACAAGGTACTGCACATTAAGACTGTGATACCTTTCAGGGTCCAAACTAATTATATCAAATATCTGTTTTTTCTACATATTATTGAGTGACTTTAAAAAATGTTGCTTTATTTTAGTACTATCTCAGAATAAAATCAAAGTAGTTAAGCAAGTCTTCTTTAAAGAAGCCACTTATCCTTGCTGCAGTTGTTAACTGGGGTGCTTATCATCCCACGTGCTGTGATACAGATGCTGGAAAGAGATTAGTGCTTGCCCTTTTTCTTCTTTCTGATGAATCTGAGTGCGCCAAAGTTCTTTCTTTGCAGTGCTAGTGAATTTCTTTCTTGCTACTTGGAGTCATGCAGATAGCATGAACTTAGCTTAGTTTAGCATAAATTCAGGAAATACAGTATGTGGGATCTAGCTGTCATTTAATGTTGTGTAATGATGACACAGAGTTTTAACTTGTGAGGATTGTCTTTAAATGTTTGGATTAGACCAGGCTTTTCCCCTATGAGTGCTGCTTTTATTGTTAACACTCGTTCCAGCTCTCCTCTCTCTCTAGATGTTCCAGCTTGTCATTTTATTGGAATTGTCTTGAACAGTTTCATCTTTTCCTGATACTTTTATCTGGGGCCTGTAATGGTTCCATGGATTTCAATAAGGAGGAATTTTTTGCTAAGAATGCAGTTGGCATCACTCATACAAGTATCTTTTTCAAGGCACATTGGTAGTCTGTGAGATTCTAAAGAAGGCTGTTCTGATTGGATTCATCTAAGATGATTGTTGAAGTGTCTTAATAGTCAAAAATTATTTGTAGTGCACTGGGCACACATTAATTTGCAGCCAACGATGCATATTCACTTTTTTGGTCTTTAAGGAATTTACTCTCAGTTGTCTCAAAGTAAACAAGATGTTATTTTGCCTACAAGAGATATCCTCTTTGTCATAGACCAAACAGCTTAGAAGACTTTAATTTGTTGATGAATCTCAAAAAGATTTCTGTTACAAATTGTTAGAATTGCATTTGTGGCAATTTTTTAAAGAATTCTCAATCAAAGGAACAACAGAAAAAAAGGAACGGAACATTTTTTTTCCTCACCCTCAATTAGGTAATATCAATCTCTAAGACATTTATGATAGCGTGATGCAATGGAGATTTCTGATGACACTGATAGTTTATTAAATGCATTTTATCATCTATAAAGTTCTCATTATCAAATGTTCTGTAGCATCTAATGTTGGTTCAATATTCTCATTTGAAACTCATGCTCATTTTGGATTGATAATTTACTAATTTTTATTTTAAAATAGCTGTTGATCATATTTTCTGTATTTGCAAACAAGAGAAATGCCGAAGTATTCCCTACTTGAGGTCTTAATTCCAGCTTTATGTTGTGCAGACTTTTCCCCCCACCTCAGTCATATCCTGAATTATGATTACTCCACAACCTCTGCTGTTTGGGGGTTTTGATTTTAGCTCCATTTGTAGAGAGGAACTCTTTCAAAGCATGCTGATGTATTTTATTTGAGACACATACATATTCATGAATCTTATGTCATCTGCATAATTCTCAGGTACATTAAACATTGAAACAAGGCTTGTAAGCTCACACATCTGTTTCAAGCTGAACAAACGGTAAGGCAATGTAATTTTCCTTAACTGTGTTGGTGCTACATAGGTGTGTGAAAGCTAAGCTAAAGACTTGAACTTTGTGTATCTTGAATTGCACTTAGGTCTATGATCAAGCACACAGCATTTGCTTGCAGAGTGCACATCTAACTTTCCAAGATTCATGTTTTCTGCAGCAGCCAACAGGCAGACTTGGAAATCTAATGGGAACAGGTTATCTGAGTATCTTCTTTACCTGTCGAAAGTTTTAGTCTGTCGAGTTCCAGTGGACTGTATTTGTCCTATAATGTTGGAGAAGGCAAAAGAAAGCTTAGCTGAAGGCATTGAATGTAATGTACATCTGAGTGTGGACTTCTTAAATGGAGCTGTAGAGAAGATGGTATTAGGTAGTGTGTTGTTGATGACCTATTTTGCACTTTAAAGCTTGTAAATTGATTTCTGAAGAATATATGACAACTTTATTCTTATGCAAGAGAATAAACGTGTTAAATCATTTATTCAGAACATGGAAATGTTTGTTTCATAAATAAATCTGAGTTATATAACTGATTGTAGATCTAAGAGGTTTTGTCTTTTTTCTCAACTGTTTTGTGTATTCAGTACCGAAGAGAGCCACAAACTGCAAATTATTTCAACAATCAAAGAGTCTTAATAAAGAGGGAGTGCTATTGAGAATACAAGTTTTTAATGGAATTTCCTTCTACTGATCAACATCAACTCAGTATTGCACGGGAAGTAATTGGTTTTTAAACCAGAGTTTGATTACCACTAGTATTCAGAGACTGGGGCATTGGACTGTTCATATTTGAAATCTTAAAGCTAAGAGATTTTTCTTGATTTTCCAAAGTCCAGTATTATTTTTTCAGTGGAGTTCAAGGTGCTTCCTGAGTTACATTCAAGATAATAAGGTATAGTTGTGAGGG